TCTGCATAAATATATGTATATTTCTCGCATTGTGATATAACAACGGTGCATAAAGCCATCGAATTTTGAATGATGTAATCCTACTGCGAATATGGGTATGTGGAAGCCCAAATTGGAAATTTGGAATTTGTTTTATTGTCGATTTTATCATATTTTCATATTATCAATTTTATCATATTATTCATCATATTATTTATCGTACTATTCGTCGATTTTATCATAATATCATATTTTGCAAATCTTTAACGAATTTTGGATTAACATACTCAAGGATTTCAAAGCCAGCAATGGCAACCTTGTACATTTTATCTGACATTTTTATCTCCGCTGACATTTTTATCTCCAGTGAGTGGACTGTGTATCGGAAATTGCTCAATTTAAAACTCTTTTGCGATAATGCTATTGAACTAAATGTTATGCTTTAAGTGCGAAGAAGTGATATTTAATAAATAAAGGTAACAGAACAAAATGTTAAAAAAGCCCTTTTGGACGTAAATTAAAATCTGAAACCTTTCAGATCTCTTTTTTATATATATTGTAAAATTTGCAAATTTTTATTAACAAACTCTATGATTTGAAAACAAGAAGTGGCAAGATAAGCATTTTTATCTCTAGCGCGGAAGACTGTTGAAACTCGGGAAAATGAGAGCGAAAATTAGCCCTTTCATAGTTTCTAATTAATATTTCGGCTGATTAAAATCTTAGGAGTTTGAGCATTTTTGAAATGGTTTTCCACGAATGTTTGGAATCCGAGGGAGAACCTCTCGCGAAAATCTCAACTCGCCCCCATTCCGGACGAGATAACGCTACAAACAAACGGAAAAGTGCGCATAGGTTTTAATAGCTTAGATTATCATATTTTACTAAGCATAAACAAATGTTATATAAAACTTAACATGAATAATACCGTAGATGTTTAATAAAATAATAAAATGATTGTAATGCTTTCATCAAGAAGTAATACTTTGACCTGCATAAGAATCAAAATATAAATGACATTCAATTAAATAACATAATTCTTCCTCGAAAGCTGATTTTCTGACATCTTGAAAAAAATAACTTTATTGTTGATAAGGATAATTATCTCGCAAACGCTAATAAAATCCTTTCAAGAGCTTTGTTACAATTACAATAACTATTGAATTGTTTTTGAATTGATTTAAATGTTTATTCATGAGAAAAGGAATAAAGATATTAGTAATATTTCAAAATGTAAATATTTACAGTATTCCAACTGATAGCAATACAACGCTTAGAATTAATAATATGCTTATTATCCGAAGAAAACTACTCTTTTTCGTAATAAATTAATTCTAGTTAAACAGCTGTAAATATAACCTGGGAAGTTTCGAAAATTAAAATATATGAGCAATTTAAATCTCCATGAGCAAGTTAACGTCATTAAAATTTCAAACAAATTACAACATGAAGCAATTAAATATCATAGTTACTAAATCAAATTTTTTAATTCTTTTATCTTCTTTTATTTACAAAGTTAGAGCTAAATGCGGGTTGCTGTGTATTTATTCTAGATTGTGGAAAATGATTGTTCTTTCTTAGCTTATAGGAATTTATATACTCTTCCGTGAAACTCATTTCAAAAACGTCGTAGAATTAATCATCTAGTGATTTACAAGGGCTGATATTTATAAATTTTATTATATGTATTTAGATTTAATAGTTTAATGTTATCTATATGACTGCATTTAATTGCGATAAAACACGTTAAATATGTATGCCTTAAGGGTGCTTTTGTAAAGAACTTTCTAAAGATGATTGGATTTTTATTTGCATTAATCACTGAGAAATCAGCTTATTGAACCGTTGGAAAGACAAAATACCAGGATTTCGAGTCATTAACTTTGCAGACTCCAGTTGGCAGCCGAAGGAAAAGAAATTCTAATTTTTCAATACAATAAAAATATGCTCTTAACTTCTGACTGAGTGCTGAAAATTTAAAATGCTTTGAAGAGGAACATAATGCAACTGTGACACATTATAAAAATTTTCCTTTGTGTAATGAGTTAGTTTTTTTATTTAAATTACATTATTATATTTTATTAACTCGAGTTTTCACATGTATAATTTTTTATGCTTTTTAAATGCAATGGTGAAATGTTCCGTCTTATTTGTTTTTACTTTTCTTGTCTTAGAATTAGTCAAATTTTCTAATTTAAACATATCAAAATTAAAATAAATTAGCCATCAGAACTTCCTAAACATTTTAATAAATGACAATAAAAAAATTAAATGCTTTGAAATATGTGGCTTATATCTGAATTATCTTTCTCTTGAATGCTCGTCTACAAAAACGTGACATCTGGAAAATCATTAATTCCTAATTAGTATAAACAATTCATAAATTTTAACAAGCAATGTGGCATACATCCGGTAATCTTAAAATAACAAATAAATATCCAACAAATCGAAGAATGTTAGAGTCAGTACAGTGCAGTTTTTACCAAAAAGGTACAGGGAAATGTGGAATATATTTTAATAATACAAGCTTTTATTGCAAGAATAATTACATTTTTACCGAAAGATGGCGTTATAGCGATTCCATAGAAATGACATTTTTTTCGGGACTGTGCGATATCACTCAGGAATGATATTGCACAGATAAAAAAAATATCCTTACAAAATCCAACATATGCAAAAACTAAACCTAAACGATTTGTAAAGACGTTCTGCACACTTTGTTAGCAAATTAGGCTTAAACCAATGGGGCTGGGCTGTCACATGGCCTGTGGAATATCGATTGGCGCCCTTTTTCCCTTATTGGAAGTGAAAAGTCCCACAAAAACCACCTTTTGGGAAAGAGAACCCACACGACATTGCATAAATCCCTCTGCATCAGCCAAAGATGGCAAAGTTCACTAAATAAATTATTACAGATTATCGAAGTGCTCCAATATTTAATAGCTCTTTCTTTCGATTTGCCCTGTTTCCTCCCTAGCTCGCCTGACCTACCTGGAAATTAAAATTCTTCATCTGAATGATTATGGGGTAATTGTAGTTGCATCAATTTACTTTTTCTCTGGGATGGGTTTGGTTTTCTGACTGCTTTTCAGAAGGTATTTCGAAATATTCTTTTACCAAAGAAAAATAACGTGAAGCGTGGTAGAGTTAAGTGTCAATTGGCACTAATAATTTAGAAAACAGATAAATAGTGTGAAAACTGCTGAAAAGAGGAGGAAAATGAGCATGATAGTGGAAGCAGACTAAAGTGAAGGTCAGTCTGATGAATTTGTTTTAACTTTGATATGAAGATATCTGAGCTTGATGATTAACTGAAGAAAGAGATGCCCAAGAGTCTGTAAAGGGAGACTAAAGTAAAATAAGTAATGGCCTAACTTTGAAGAAAATGTTTTCTATCGAGCATCTTCATCCAAATCTTGGCTATAATTGTTCTGTGCTGTGGATTGCCGACCGGAGTGAAGCATTTACAAAAAGTAAGCGGCAGCATTTAATAGTGTTAATTTCTACTGTGACATGGTAAGTTTATCGTTTCCATAACTTAACAAGTTCCATAACTTAACTGCATTTTATCGAGTAACTCTATTTAGTTTTCGACGTCGATGGCCCGACGTGTTGCGAAGCTTGGAATTCTTGAAATTTCAAGAATTCCAAGCTTATAGTTATACAGGGTGCGGCAGCGTTCATAGCGTAATTTGACTTGCGTAGCACAATGACGTACTCCATGAATGCGGGCCAGTTCGTGCCGCATTCGTGTACTAATGAGCTGCCATTTCGAGTGTGACAGTGATATGGATCGTTGATGTGCACAGCATCGTGCCTTTGCTTCTGAAAGTTATTTCAAGAATAACTACTCTGTTATTGCTACCCAGCGTCTATTTCGGCAACATTTCAACTTGGGATGTGATGGGAAAGTTCCAGATGGGCCATTGCGACAAACCTTTCCATGTAAAGCAATTTCCCGTTTTGGTGACATTTCCTGGTAGCCTCGCTCACCTGATCTTTCATGTGCCGACTTTGGGGGCACCTGTAGCAAGAAGTTTTCCGAACACGTTGTGCCACCATTCCTAAGTTGAAGGATCGCACCCGAATTGCCGTCGGCAATGTCCCAGGGAATACGTTACGCCGAGTTATGGCAAGCTTCCAACGCCGCCTAGATGAATGTGTTGTGCATAGGGGGCATCATATTCAAAACGTAATCCACGCAATGGACAATGACTTACACATTAGTAAATGGCATACCTTAAACTATTAATTGACATAAGAGGTAATAAATAAACTACAGTTACTGCCTTATGGTGTGCTTTTAATATCCTACGATGAACGCTGTCGCACCCTATACATATAACCGCTTAGTAGTTATATAATATCCGATTGGTTCAATCTATTAAACTTTAAAGACCTGGAGATAATTTACTGGCGATAATTATTTCGTAGCTAAAACAACTGAACACAGCGTCTGCAAATAAGCATCACGTTTTCCTAATGAGTAGTGGAAATTTTGGAAATTTTTTGTCACAATAAATTATGTATAGTTTTACATAGCCAATGTTTTACATCGCCAACACAAAATGCAATGGTAAATTCACTCCTCATTACAATCATGCTCTATAAAACGATTTTTTACGGCGCTTACTATCGAACCAGATATTGCTAGATTTATATATCTTGTTATCTTGCTCATAAGACGTTTAATCTCAATTGTTTTTATGTAAAGAGAGTAAATAAAGAGCTAATAATGAAGTTATTTAAATGATAAGTTGAGGTAAAAGAGTGCGTTGTGTTGTATCTGCGCTATGTATGAAGAATTTCTGGGAAACTTTGCTTTAAAAGGCTGTATCGTCTTTATTTTTCGTACATTTTCTGAGAAATTATTATCTGAAGCTTTACTGTATTTTGCAATCACTTTCTAAGCTTCCCTTGATTTATAACACATATGAATGCGTTTAATGTCCTGTTGCTAAAATGAATAAATGTTCAACATCATTATGACGTTTGTTCCTAATGTAAACTGAAACGAGGTATGTATATCATAGTATTTTATTTAGATACTTTCCATTTATTATTTGATGAACATTACATACACAAGACATTCTACGCACCTGTTAAATAATAAATAAAACAAATAATTTGAAGTTATAGACTGAATGATATGACTTGACAAACATTTGAGTTCGTTACGAAATATGATAGTTATTTCTTTTACTTTTGCCAAGGTACTGATAAATCACATTACAAATGATTATATGACAACAATTAGAAACTAATTCCACCAGGAATCAAGCGATGAACACTTTTGAGTTAAGCAGAATATAAATGCACATCAAACATTATTATGACTCGATTGCTTTTTTATTTGGTTCTTTTACGGAGTCTTGGTTTGCATCTGGTGGAGGATTTGTGGTTTCGATCATAGCCTTCTTCATGATGTAAGCCATAAATCGGAATAGCTGCATCCAAGCTTCCTCTATTTCGTCAGACCAGTGTTCTTTCATAGAAGGTTTCACAGCAAAAACAAACTGAGGTCCAATCAGCTGTAAGGAAAAGAAATATTTACAAAAGATACTTTGTTTATATTGTGATTACGCATTCATATACCCAAAGCAATTAATAAAAGAGCATTTTTCTCTTTTTGAACAAATATAATTCATAATGTGAAAACAAAAATACGCATAAAATCATTTGAAATAATTTATGCAACAAAGTTCCGTTTCTATTATTAGGTTTATTTATAAGATAGGAGAAGTATTTTCACTTAGTATAAAAGTTTCTAAATTTTACAAATTCCTCAAAAATATGCTCATGAATCCAAAAGTTAATTAATCACTATGATATCAAAAACTAATATTTTAAGACCAGCTCACTAAAAATTATAGCTTACACGGGCGTAAAATCATATAATTTGTGAATTGGAGATTCGTACAGATATTAATCCACTACACATATACAAGGGCTATCAAATTTCTGTGAATCATATAAAGCTTCGCATTAGTGCAGTAATTTCTTGATAATTTCTCTCCTTCTACTGAAAAAAATTATTATTTCGTAGACATTGGCAAAACCGAAAAATATTTACAGAGCTTTCTGTTTATATCAATAGCACAAAGTTCGTCATGATGCTATATCTGTCAAAGAACAGGTCCTCTGCAAGCACTATACACACATCGTAGTTTAAATTACACACTGTCAAGAAAATACTATATATGATTTTATCTGTTTCTTTACCACAAAAACCCATAACTGATATATCCCATAATGGTAAATCTTCGGATTATGGTAACTTGGCAATTTTTTGGCGACCAACCTTTACTACAGCAACCTGCTAGTTTTTTTTTTTTTTTTTTACGCCATTTTTTTTTTTTTTCACAAAGTAAAGGCATTTTTTTTTCCCAACAATCTGCTAGCCGAATTACACTTATGCTAGAACTTTTATGGAACAAATGTGGTTAATCATGACGAAGATTAGGTACGAAATTGGGAGAAAGTGCAGAATCGTCCACTGCTTCGCGCGTTTTTAAGAATTGCACATACGCGGTATCCATGTACACGTCGACCTATTTTCACTTTAAAAAATCCCAGAATTGCACAAAAATGGCATTGCGGAAAATGTCACATGTCATGTCTCATGATCTCTCATTTCTTTGAGACAGAATAATCTGTGATTCGAACTGTGTACTTCTCAGATTATTGCTAAAGTCCTACCTAGTAACCTTTATCGTCTTACCAAAATGTCGCCAAACTACCTGTTACCATATTCCAAAGATTAGCCCAAATAATTTTATTTTTTTTTTAAAGCCGTGGTTCTTATTTCTTCACAGCTCAGTATCAGACATTGCTTTTATAAAATTGAGACGAGCAATGTTTTAATGCAAAATAGTTTATTAAGCGTATAATCGTCTAGAAAGGATTCTGGGAGGTAAAATAATTATTTTAGAAGACATTGAATGCGCTTATACAGGTTGAGATATTGTTAGCAGATCAATTGATCAAACACTATTTTTTCAAACGCTGTCAAATTTCTTAAAATCCAAGATCAAGGTGATGAGCTGGGAGTTGCCGTGACATGATACTGCTCCAAAAGACTTTATGTAAATTGAATTTATCATTTATGCAAATTGTTAATTTCTAGTACGTGTAATTTTAAGGTTTATTAGATTTCCTGTTGAAAAACATGGGATGAAAAAATGCAGCTAAAATGTTCTCCATTCCGTAGTAAGGCTGTATGGTATGTTGTAAACAGTTTTTTATTGTTGACAACGTGGAAAAGACTGATTTTTATCATATTCGGTTGCTATTAATAAAATAATGATTGATACTTATTTAAAATTCAAAAACAAAAATGCAGAGTTATGTAAAAACCTGACAAGTAATATTTATACTGTTTGTGTGCTTGAAATGTAGATGCGCTAGATTATTGTTGAGTTCAAACTAACACTTTATGACTTCTCAATAATACATGCCATGTAAAAAATGATTTACGATGCGTTATCAACTGAACGATATCTTCAACTTAATCTTCGCTAGTCCTTTGACAGTTATTAAAATCACGGTTTGTCTGTATTTTTATTCTTTATTTAAGTTTCATTATGCTGTTAGTAACTATTGTTGTGACTCCTATTAAGTTTAGCATTCCCCGTTTCTTATTATTTAATAGTTTGTTTAGTAATTTTGTTTGATGTATGAATCTGGCAACCAGTTTCGTTTTCGAATGTTGTGATCCGCGAAATTCCCGTTCTTCTAAGCAAGTAACTGTCATTTACGGAAATACTGAGTCTTTTTCATCGTTACGATGTACGGATCATTTGATCACATGCTAAGCAGTTAAGTTAAGTAAGTAGCAGTTAAGATAGTTACATTACTGAAATACTGAATGTTTTTTCATCATTAAGATGTAAGGATCACTTTATCTTTACACTAAACTCTACATGTAAATAATCGCATTTATCTGTATGTGTTCGTAAATGAAATAAATTGGACATAAAACCAAGACTGATTTCGAATCAAAACAACTATATTAACTATGTTAAATATCAATGACACCATATAAACATATTTTTCTTTGTATAAATTGATATACGGAGTTTAACCTATCTCATCATAACACTCTTTAATAAACTGCACAAAATAAGTTAATATTTTAGAGCATCCAGATTAATTATCACCTCCTTAATAATCGAATAACCTTTTACAGGTTAGTATTTTAATTCCCTTTGAAACTGGAAGTGGTGGAAGATAGGAGAAACGAAACAGAATTCCAAGAAACGAGGGAAATTTTACTACTGACTCTCATGTGTAATCTTGAGAAATGTGTGTTTACGAAGATGCAGAACTTGGCTTTGAATCTTCACAAATACGCCGTTTTCATCAAATTTAGAGTAAATCATTTCGTTTAATACAAGTACTATCATTTAATTAAGAGTCATAAATATTAATATAATATGAATACAGTTGTTTGAAATTAAACTATTTTAATGCTACCTTTAATGAAAATAAATATTTAATTTGTAAATATCAGTGCAATATGAATGCAGTTACATGCAGTTTAAATATTTTAAACCTGTCTTATATTCAATTAAATGTTTCATATGCTTACAGTTATTCGGTATAGCTTTTTATGCAATTTTACATACCAGTACTAAAAGATTTATGGACACTTTCTTGAAACGATAGAGCTGAAAATTGAGCAATTCCGTGCTTTATCGATTACGACAAAGAAGTCATTTTCTGCTTTAATTTTCTTTTGTTTTTCAGTTTTGTAACTTTGAGAAGGAGCTTAACTTCAGAATTATTAATTATGACCCATCTGTTGGCAGCAAGTCGAGAAAATGTTTCTTCCAGCCTTGTGGTTACAAATAGCTTCACCAGTTCATTGGTTTTCTTTTATACGAAGAATGCAAGTAAATAATTTCTTGCCCATTTACTCACTCTCCAGTGTCTGTATTAGATAAGGGTCACTAAAGAATAATGAGTCAATAAATGCTTCAAATGGACATCTTAACATGTTAGGAGAAAAACTAATAGGATTTGTGCTTGTGAATATGGGAAATGGAAGTAGTATTTATATTATCAGATATACATTAAAATTTTTAAATAAAATTCATATAGAATTTGCAAATTTTCTATTGGCTCCGAACCAATGCAAACAGAAATACATTGAAAATTTTAAAGCACAAATTGTTCATAATTAATTACAATGCGCAGATTTAATTTTTTTAATTGGCTGAATCAAAGAAAAAATGTCAAGGGTTTTTCTTTACCTTTATCAAAAATACATCTGAAAAATTCAGAAATATGAAATTTATTTTTATTTAGAACATAAACTAGCTTTATTTTCATTTAATTTTATTTGACTTTTTTACTTCGATCCACAATTTTTCTATCTATGAGTTCTTTCTATGATTTCTTTCTATGAGTATCTAAGTACCTTAGAGTAGCAAATGTTAATACCAAGTTATGATCCCTAAACGTTAAAGTGATTATTAAGGATAAACTACGCATAGACTGTAAATACAATGCACACAATATTTTCTGAAAGCTATTAATTAACTGTTATTAATAATATAATTAATGGACACTATAAGATATTCAGGCAATGTTTAACGAAATTTTAAGGTATTTCTCGCGCCTTCCTAGCATGTCTTCATGGTGTGGTGGTCTGCACGTTGGGCGCGTATTTCAGAGGTCCCTGGTTCGATTCCCGGCGAAGGCGTTGCTCATTTTTCATCTATCCTGCTTTAAAAAAAAACCTAATGCCTTTGCAAATTCATAATGTAGGATAACTGTAATGAGCCTAGTACTTTTTAAATACATATCCAACAGGCAGAGTTGATCTCTGACACGGAGTTGGTTTTCTGCTGTTCAGGCTTCACATTCTTGCATCGCATTGCAGACCGAACGCCTAGGGCAGCTCCAGCGTAGGGTGCTCCTGGCGCACTAGGAAAGCTGTGGTCCTAGAATGATGATAAATTTCCATTTCCCTAACTGTATATTTCACGTATCCTCTGTGCCAGTTTCTGTTCTGTTATATCATATCGTAATATCGTAGTTTCTGTTTTGTTACATCATATCATTCGTTATAGCGTATCGTTATATCATATTCGTTGAAATGAAGTATTTAGGCTGCTCTTGTTAAATAAAATTATAAGAATAGAAGCCTCTCATGTGAATAAAAGATGATGAACTGCATCAGCTCACACTGAATAAATATTTTAATATAATGAAAGAAATAAAAATTAAAATGGTATCAGAACTGGCTAAAATAAATTACAGATAAGGTGAGGAAATAGAAATCAGTAGCTTCCTAGAATTATCATTTGTTTGCCTGGATTAGAAACTGAAGCTCGGAAAACCAGGAAGTTGCCTCTTTTTCTGACCCTGTTTAGAACTAATACTGAATAAGCAAAAAAATCCGCAGGTGAGGAAAATAAAAGTTGACAGAATGAGAAATTTAATAACGTTTATTATGCAATAAAACATGGCTGCTATTTCTCGTCAGTATTTTACTCGTAAAAGGCTCTTTTATTGTGTTGAAATC